TCAACACCCGTGGGGCCGTGGCCCTTGGGGACAGGGTTTAGCAGGCACAGGGGGCTGGGCTGATGTTGGACGGGATGATCTTGGAGGTCGTTTCCAGCCGTCGTGATTCAATTCTAGGATTCTATGATTTGTGTTTGTGTTAATGGTTAAAGGGTGATGAAAGCAGAGGATTTGGGTTGGCCATGGGGAACAATTCCTTCCCCTTGGGGCTGTCAGGCGCTGGAAGGGGCTGCCCAGGGAAGGGGTCGAGTCCCCGTCCCTGCGGGTGTTTAACAGCCGGGCAGACGCAGGGCTGAGGGTCGGGGTTTGGGGGTGGGATGGCAGGGGAACGGTTGGGCTGGGGGAGCTGAACGGGCTTTTCCAACCCAAACAATTCCATGATTCTATTCTATGATTCTAAAAGTCACACTAGGCTCTATCAGTAAGCAAATGAAAGAGGTCACTCCTTCCAGGCTTCAATTCATCCTGGAGATCTAAGTGATAGATCCAAGAATGGGACACTGCTTTATACAGCTGCTTCTATCCAGGATGAATAGTTTGTACCTACCTGGTCTCCTCCTCCTCAAGGAGTGATCTATACATGGCAATTTCAATATCCAGGGCCAATTTCACACTCAGGAGCTCCTGATAATCGTGAAGAAGGCATGCAAGATCATCTTTGGCCTGCTGCAGGGCCTTTTCCAGATCCTGAAGCTTTTGCTGGCCATCTTTGATGGCAGAGCTCCCACGCTGCTCAGCATCTTTAATGGTTTCTTGGAGGCTGGCATTCTGCAGAGGGCACAAACAAAATGTGTCCATCTCTCTTTCATGGGACTGGGCTTTTCAAACCCTTCCAGCAGTCCTTGGAAATTAAAAGACTGCCTCAATGACAAAACTCAGAAGACCCATTAGACTGGGAAATTAACCCAAATTAAATCCCAGTGTAGACAGCCCAAATCTAAATCTACTTTGTTTGGAAGAGAAAATATCATCTCTAGGTTTGCCTGCAAAGGATGGGCTACGTTGTGCTGTGCTGAGTCCCCGTGTAAAAGTGACTTCAATAATTCAGTCATGTTGGAAAGTATCAGCTTTACCTTTTTCCTTGCAATTTCGATTTCTGGTTGTAGTCTTTGTATCTGCCTGCTCAGTTCCTGGATTTCCTGGTAACTGTTCCTCAGCTGCTCACGTTGATTTACCCACATGTTCTGAAGGTCCTGGTACTGATGTGCAGAGAAGAGAACAGATATTTTTGGTTTCTTTTCCCCTAAGCAGACAGACTTGCCTCCTTATCTTCTTGATGTCTACTCACCCTGCCCTGATACATGGCATCTACTTCAGCTTTGCTTCTCTGAGCAATTGTCTCATACTCCTGCCTGACTTCTTGAATGATGCCATCCATGTTCAGTTCCCTGTGGTTGTCCATGGACAGAATGACGTTGGTGTTGCCAACTACTGTTTGCAGCTGGGACAGCTCCTGCAAGGAAAACAAGATTTTGAATTTTAACATTCCATGTGAGCAGTCCAGGCCATGTTATGAGGAAATAAATGGGACCTTCTGGCCAGTCCCCCACTGGGACTTCCCTACTGACATCCCCCAGGTGCTATTCTTCCACCACCACCTTTCATTTTCAAGTGTCTCTTCCAGCCTTCATGACACACAGGACCCCCTTTTCACTCACAGATGAAAAAGGACTTTATAAGATCAAAGGCCAAGGGTGTTCCCCTCTCCAAACCAAAAAGTCCTGCTCAGGCAAAATTTCGGGGAACCTCCAAAGGATACACGTCCTTCAAGACCTGAGGGTAAAGTTTTAATCTGAGAAGCATACTCACAGCCTCATGTAAACATCTGAGGAACTCAAGCTCCTGCTTCAGTATTTCCACCCGCACATCAAACTCCATTTTCCCCATGTAGGCACTGTCCAGTTCCTGCAAAAAAAGCCATGGGCATGCTTGTATTTCTTTGATATGAATCTGGGGTTGTTCAGTCTGGAGAAGACGAGGCTGAGGGCAGCCCTTATCGCTCCCTACAACTGCCTGAGAGGAGGCTGTAGAGAGGTAAGGGTCAGCCCCTTCTCCCTGGTAATGGGTGATGGGACAAGGGGAAATGGCCTCAAGTTGTGCCAGGGCAGATTTGGGTTGGCCATGGGGAACAATTCCTTCCCCTTGGGGCTGTCAGGCGCTGGAAGGGGCTGCCCAGGGAAGGGGTCGAGTCCCCGTCCCTGCAGGTGTTTAACAGCCAGGCAGACGCGGGGCTGAGGGCCAGGGTTTGGGGGTGGGATGGCAGGGGCAGGGGAACGGTTGGACTTGATGATCTTAAAGGTCTTTTCCAACCTAAATTATTCTATGATTCGATTCTATGATTCTAAATTCTGCACTGAAGTGCAATTCTTTCAAGACTTTCTTTAACGCCTTCATTCCTGGAGTCAAATAATGGCTCATGAATCTCAGATTTCATTTGAAAAGCAGTTGGAACAAAGGGAAAGGTTTTATAACTCTTTAGAAGAGAAGAAAGGCTGGGAAATAAGCAAAACATCTGTGGCAATAAATGTGTTCCTGGAGAAAATGCAAAGTGTAGAAGCATAGATTTCATGAATTCTTCTAATAAGAGAATGTCTACATTTTCTGTTCTCCTATCTAAGCCACCCACAGACATTATTTAGCCCCTCATGGCAATGTCTCACCTAGTCTGTGATTGAGTGAATAAAGACCAGCGCTATTGAGATATTTGTCCTACAAAGGGCCTGTTCATCTTAGCCCCTAGAGGAAATGAATCCTCTCCGGTCTTGCAGTAAAAAGCTCCAGTTTTCAATTACTTCAGTTAGAGGAGAATTTGACATGGTTAAGCAAAGACCTCGCTTTTGAAAACCTCAGCAACCACCCACCCAATCACTGCTTTGTTTCTGAGGCTTTGATTTAGCTCAGTGTCTTGGGTTACTTCACCTTTTTAAGCTCCACAAACTCCTCTTCTTTAGACGCACGCTTGTTGATCTCGTCCTCGAATCTGTTGTGGCACAGAAAAGAAATAGGTAGCTCAGTGCCTGTCTTACTTTTTCAGTCAAATGGATCAGAAACCAAAGCCAAGGCTCCAAAAAGGGAATGTGTCGCGTTTTCATTTAACGTTTTTTCTGGTTATTTCTGGCAACTGCAAAGGCAATGGCAACCCCCCTGCAAAACTACAGGCTAAAGGAGCTGACAAAATGTGACAGATACAGATCTAACACCCCTGTAACTCTGAACTGAACTCCCTGTGTTTCTGAGCTATATGACATAACTTATATTACCTTCTGGGTGCAGCTAAGCCAGAAGAAGTGATGACCCTTCTCAACTTGACCCCACTGCTCAGCTCTGTCCCTCCCCTCCCTGCTGTCCAGGTTGACCACAACTCCACAACTACCATCAGGAAGAGAATTAACTCTATCCCAGATGAAACCAGGCTGGTAAAGAGTCCTGGGTTCCTCATTGCTTGGGGGAGGAAGGGCATGGGGGAGGACAGGAGGAGAGAAGAGTGGGATGGATCTACAGACCCTTTGATTTTCCTCTTACTTCTGGGTTCTATCCTCACCAAATCTGCTTTACTCTTCCAGCATCAAAGTCCCATAATGCACCTACTGCAGAGTAGAATCATGGACTCATGGAATTGTTTGGGCTGGAAAAGCCCGTTCAGCTCCCCCAGCCCAATCATTCCCCTGCCCCTGCCATCCCACCCCCAAACCCCAGCCCTCAGCCCCGCCTCTGCCCGGCTGTTAAACACCCGCAGATACAGGGACTCGACCCCTTCCCTGGGCAGCCCCTTCCAGCGCCTGACAGCCCTTGTGGGGAAAGAATTTTTCCTAATGTCTAAGAGTGCTATAATGGCTACAGCCCCCCCAATGGTGTGAAGCTAAGCTGTGCCATCCCAGGGCGTGATTAGCCTTGCCCTGGAAAACTCCACCGTGCTTTTTTCCAGACTTGTGATTATTCACCTCTTTTTATAATCTTCGACAAGCTGAAGCATGTTATACGCTTCTGGATCCAGCTGCTCCTTCTGGTTCTGGAGTGTTTCTAGCTGCCTCTGCAGGTTGCTGATGTAAGACTGGAAGAAAGAGGCGATGTTTCTGCTCTCTTCTGGTCGGGCACTTTGCTGCTGCAGAAGTTCCCACTTGGCCATCAGAGCCTGGTTCTGCCGCTCAAGACATTGAACCTGAAAGGCAAAGCAGAAAAGTATCTCAGCCGCTGGAAAGCACTGAGGGAAACACAGACATCAGAGTTAGTCCCTATAGCAAACAAATCCTAATTAATATTTCCAACGCATTGACATCCAGAGGTTTCATCGGGTGGGACCAACTGTAGTAACACTGGTACCAACATGCGAGACAGCTTAGACCAAAGAGGGGGACACCTCCTTTTTCCCAGTCTGTTGCATAGGAAGGGTGTGATTTTACTGCTGCTTCTCAAAGCTGATACTGAAAACGTTGCTAGCTTTTCATCTCTTAAATATTTAGGGGGATGATTGGGGTGGAGGGAGACTTCAGCTGTTTCTGAAGCACCTTAGACACCCAAATACATGAGAGAATTTAGGAGACCACACAGGACCACTCTCCTCCTAGATGTGCCTTGCCTTACAGAAGGTCAGAGACACTGATAACATGCAAAGCTGGTATTTTTGGAAACCAGAGGGGTAAGGGATAGCATCTCTTCATCTGGAACACTTGACCAGGTTGTAACCTGGCAACTGGCTTCCAGAAGGTTTCAAAAAAATAAAGTCAAAAGCACTCCTATTTTTCAGGACTAAGCATGCTTAAAACTTGTGGGTGTCACCAACACCTTTTCTGTAGGGTAATACAAGGAGCCCTTAGATGTAACAAATAATCCAGGCTTCCACCCCATGCAGGGCCACATGTCACCACCCAAAGGCACACGTCAGGTCTGTGCAGGTGGAAGTGGTTTTGTGGCTGTTTTGTTCCCGTGTCTGTGAGTGTGAAAGGAAAGAGAAGACAAGACTGCAGACAGAGGGGAAAGTACTGTAGTGTAAACCAAGAAAGAGGTGAAGAAGAGAGGTGTGGGGGCCACTGGCCACTTGGAAGAGGCTAGGACCTCCAAGGAAAGAAGTAATTTGTTTTGTAATTCAGAGAAATGCAACATTTTGCTTTGCTTGATAAAAAACCAAAACACCCAACAGAACACATCAAGGATGTCCAAGTCCATCGCCCATTTTTCCTGCTAGCACCAACAGTTCCCAGGCACCGGAATCACAGAATCGTTCAGGTTGGAAAAGACCTTTAAGTTCCCCCAGCCCAACCATTCCCCCAACCCTGCCATCCCACCACCAACCCTGTCAGCCCCGCGTCTGCCCGGCTGTTAAACACCCGCAGGGACGGGGCCTCGCCCCCTTCCCTGGGCAGCCCCTTCCAGTGCTTGACAACCCTTTCAGGCAAGAAATTTTTCCCAATATCCAACCTAAACCTCCCCTGGCACAACTTGAGGTCATTTCCCCTCATCCTATCACCCATTCCCAGGGAGCAGAGACGGACACCCACCTCGCTACAAGTGCATAGAAGTACATAGATGTAGTTCTACTCTATGTACTGGACTGTGCTACAGAAGTAAGCAAATGAGCCCTGGAGGAAACGTGACTAAACCAACTCTCTGTGCTGGAATATTGCCAGCCACGCAGAAACCCTCTTCCTCCAAAGAGAAGTGAGTTTATGTGTTGGTGACAGCCCAGTGGCTTTTTTCTGTCCTGCCACAAAAGCGACTCAGAGATATTTATCCCAGGGCTAAATGTAAGTGATCCAGGCAGCGGCGTTTATAGCAAGCTATTAAAAACGTCACACCAGCACAAGGGAATCCAGCCAGTGCTGTGATTTTGGGGGGGACAAGGTGCAATGTAAAGGCGTCCCCATGACTCACACAGGCAGGGCAGCACCCCTGATATTTCCCCCATCCCAGATAACAAGTAAAAAAGAGAACAGGGACTCACCTTGTCGATGAATGATGCAAATTTGTTGTTGAGAGCCTTAATCTGCTCTTTCTCATCTGACCGCACTCTCTGGAACTCGGGGTCAACTTGTACTTGTATTGGCCTCAGCAGGTTGGTATTGACATGGACCTCCTCAATACCCCTCCTAACACCAGCCTGCCCAAAGCCCTGTCCAGCCCCTTGTTCACCAAAGGCACTTCTACCAACGCCTCCTCCAAGCACCTCCCTGCCTGAACTGCTTCCAGACATGCTACCAAGCCCTGCTTCACCTCCTTGAAAAGCTCCCACAAAATATCCTCTTCTACCAAAGCCCCTATCAAGGTATCTCCTACCACCAAATCCCAGGCACCTCCCATATCCTCTTCCTTCTGCTCCATAGCCTCCACCAGCATAAACATTCCTAAACCCACCAAGGTTGTGGAGACTCCTGCTGCCATAACCATACCCATAACCACCAAATCTTTCTTCTCCTCTACTGTCTTCACAATGGCTTACAATAAAGGAACTTCTCCCACCACCCAGCATGCCACAGTGAGCAGAAGAAGAACTGAAATTCCCATCCCCAAATCTGGAGAAGTGTTGGCTCATAGCGTCGCTTTCAGAGCGTTAGGAGAAGACGAGAGAGCAGGTCACGGACAGGAGGAGAAATGAGAGTGAAGGATCCTCAGCTCCGCTGGTGGGGGTGACAGAAGTTCTCCTTTATATGTTCTGGAGGAGTTAGTCTCCATTCCGTGGTAATTAGCAGGTCTGCTAATGTTGTTATTGGGTTTGGTTCATCAGGCAGCAATTAATTGCTGCCTGAAGAAAGGTCAGAGTAAACACCACACACCAGTGGCAGAATTGTGAAATTCCCCAAATCCTGCTTGACTCATGAGATTTGCTCAGAT